GTGTAAGACTCTAACTTTGTTCTAAATAGCTTACAAATAATTTAAAATAAAATTTTTTTTCTGACACATTCCCATAAATTACTTGCTTCAGTTTAAGGTATCTAATTTGCTTCCTGAGGATGAATGTTTCATATTAAAATGAATTCAAACTTGTTTGAATAGTGTTTTTCCTTGGTCAAGGATTAGTGCGATAATGTATCAGGAACAAAGGGAAAGAGAAATTAAACTAGTTTAAAGCCATATTGACCTGAGATTCATTTTAAACTACAACATATATGTAAAGAGGCTTCAAAAGTACAATATAGGTGGAAGGATTCTTTTGTTTTGAAAAATACCTAGCAATACTCTCCAAATTTGCAACAACTGCTGCCCATCCCTTCTGTTGCAGCTTTTGCTCATGCACTAGATTTTCACAGCTCTCTGCAATTTGTATGGAAAGTGAATAGAATTCCTAAAATAAAGAAAAGACAATGCATACGAGTCTATTAATTTAGTAACAAGTGTAAAAAGCGATCAAAATTATAGTAAAATATAAAGTCTAATTAGATAGGGTGCAAGTAAGAAGGACAGCGTATCATTAAATAAATGCATACACATATCACTAAAAGTGAAACCTTTCTGTTTTATAGTCAAATATCCAAATATTACTCTCACTAGTGTCTCTTTCAATTAATAAAAGAGTCTGCTGAGAACATAGGTTGCTATTTACTCAATGCAACACATCTGGCAGTTTTTATTCACTATAAAATCTTCAAGGAACATACAGATGCTAGCTGAGCTCTGGATACAAGAGTTTCATATGTGGGTGGTAAATTCAAAGATTTTTCCACTTGCTCCTTCAAATTTGCCTCTACAAAAAATAATCAAATATCATTAGTATCAATCTGTAATCATTCTACATATAATAACAAAATATATCTAACACCCCCTTCCCGATTCCCAATAACTCCCATGAGTGACCAAAACAGAATTTCTCCTTACAATATTAATACAATATCAAGGAGACAAGAGATGAGAATATCAATCTGCAGGGTATTGGTTGATCCTATATACCAAATTCTCTACACTGACACCATAAGAATTGTATGACAAACAGTAAGGCGAATTTCTAAAGAGATCTTGAGAGTGCAAGGGTTAAATTACTGCCTGTAAATTGAAAAGTGACTCAGTACTTACCTGAACCTAAGTTAAGACTGGGAGATGGTGGAATAGATGACTCAATGGTGGATTTGCTGAACAAAAATATTGGGTTGGTATCCTAAAACAGAAACCTTGTGTTAGAACATCCTTAGCTAATCCAACATTTTTAGTCTAGGCCTTGGTGCATGGGGCTCAATTACATTCTGGTTTTGTGTAAGTAATGATGCTGAAAAGGTTTATCTGAAACATCCAATAAACAAAAGCATACTGACACAAGATTTCGCTTGGTTCGTAATGAAACACTGTTAGTGCTTTTATAAGCTGATTCCCCTGGTATATCATGCCCCTTCTCTAATACATCCCCTATATACGTGCATAGGACTCCTAAAGCCTTGCAAAGTAATGAAATTCACTAGCCGCAAGGTGAACATTGATTCTGAAAAGATAAATCTAGAACCAGAATACACCACTGGTACTTACAGTGCCAGCACTGTTATAACTGTAGACTCTTTCTCTGGGATCCAATGCTTCACCATTAGATATTAACAAGACTTGTTTATCCTCTGGGATCCCTGTTTCAGCAGCCACTGTACTCATCAGCACTTGAACACTGTTTAAAAGAACACACATCTCAACCTTGGGTAAATGAAGGAGCTGGGATAGTTACTAATCCCTCCGAATCAACATTGATTCAACACTTTTGTCTGGTAAAGGCAGTTGTTTAGGTTTTTTTTTTATTTCCAAAGTTTGAAACTGCCAACAGCACCCCAGTTCATCTGCTTAGAAGATGAATGATCTCCAGCAAAAATAGACCGAATCAGCCCAGTTTCTAAATGTTCTCTGTCCAAACTGTCACGCCAAAATCAGAGTCACAAACTATAATATGGAATCAAAAATCCAATATTGCCTTGACAGTTGATTTAAAACCCTGAAAAGCATCATCATAAAATAAAAAGCAAATTTTTTTCTTCCGATCTTGATTACTCATCATAGCAACTATTCAATTGCCGCATTTTCTATAATTACTCCCACTGAATGCATAGAAATTCTGCTGTGTATGACAAGACAGCACATCCTTCTTTGCTTGGCAGCACTCAAAGTTCCACTAATTCTACTTCATGTTGCATGTCAATGCACAAATGCCATGTTGGATTAATAAAAACATGTGTTTTAATACCATAGTCAATCATTGGCTATGGTATTATCATACACAATGTATTTTCCCTTTTTGAAGTTCTATTTTCAGACCTGACATAGGGAAGTTTTTGAAATTCACCTTTCAGTATGACCTTTGGGAGAGAAATATTTTGCCTCAAAAATGCATTTTATATCATTGATTATTGTATCCACACATACAATTATTACCGGGTTCTGGATGTAAACTAAAGCAAACATACATAACACCTAAATTAATCATTTATATGTCGTTCACTCATGGCATACTGAAATATTTTACACCGGGACATGAACTGCTTCAGCCTGCACCAGGACTGTCAAAACAGAGAGACTAAAAGACAGTTAAACATAACTTCGTCATAAGTTTTGATCAAACTTGTTTGGTCACGTTTCGATGAGCACGTAAGTGACCTAACATATGCCAAGTAAAAAGTCTTCCCTACCAGTTGTACAACATTATAAAATCCTCTCTCACCTTTCCATTGCCAGCTCCATTTCAAAAGTGTACGTACTCCCCAGGTCGACATAAAATACATGCAACATTTTTGTTAAATTTTGACCTTCGAAGCTTCCTTGCCGTAAACGTAAATAGCAGTTTGCGCTATTGCAAAAATTTCGTTGAGTCCATGTTACAGTATAGGGTTCTTCGATATGAATACTTCAAACAATGCCCACGAAACCACCTGTTTCTCTTCATTTTCCCCCAAAATGTTCGATTTATTTCGCTGAAGAATTCTCTTCCTTCATTACTAGCGAATGTTTCTGAGAAAACAGGGAACCATAATACTAATTTCGTCGATTCTCTGTCAGGAAATGATGACTTCACTTATACTCTGTTCCAAGGTCATAACAGATATCACGCAAGTAGGCATGCGTGACATGTTTGACTGCTGACCGGAAATGTAAAATATTGGAGGGTGGTTCAAAAAGTAATTGATAAGGTAACGCAAGATCACCTTGTAACAGGGTTCCATCACTAAAAATAATTAGTTTCACCACATGGGCTTTTTCCCAAGCAGGTGGGAAAAAGCAGATGTTGTTCTGTGATAAATTTCCCTTCTCAAGGCAAAGTTATATTCTATATCAAGTTCCTCCTTATATAATCCCACAATCTTTTCATGGAAAAAAACCATTTTCCAATAGTTCTGAACAGTTTCAGCTCTAAAATACCAATCAAGCATTGAGTATTCACTAAGACCACTCTGATGATCCCATCTTTCAAAACAAGGTCAATTTTCCACTAGGTCAGCAAAGTTTATAGCCTGCCCCTAGTATTCTCCAAACTAGGAATTTTAGATATTTTCCAAGTCAATACATTTGAAATTGCCAAATTCATGTTTTATCATAGAAATAACTTATTGCCTCCATTGCTTCTCAATCTTTTTGTAACGAATAGCCAAATTCACAACTATGGTACCAGAACAGCCAGTAATTATTGAACGCATTTATGCTATACAAATCTCAAGCAATTAACAATTCTCTACCAAGATCCTAAAATTTGGAACTCTCTTCCTGTTTCAGTCACTCATTTGTCAAACCTTCTTAGCTTTAAGACAAAAATGCAAGAGCTTTTACTTAAATAATCACTGAATTGGCCTAGCCGCACATTAACAGCACTTTTTCTTTACTTTATTTATTAATGTAAGTGAGGTGGACCTGGGCCTTCTAGCTATAGCTGCTGTAAATAAATTTTTTGTATTGTGTAAATAAGGCAAATAAAAGATAATTAAAAAACTCTAAAACAAGAAGATTATTTGTCTTGTAATGAGCATGGAGAGATGAGAAAAATCTAAGTCCTCCCCAAGGAATTAAACCCCAGACATACAGATTTCACATTAGTTTTATTGTGATGTGATTAGGCCTCCAGGTAATTAAAGAATAATGGTGCATACATTAGATTTAGGGTGACCTGGTCTACCCTCCTTGATGTTACAAAATAAATTGCACTAAAATCACTTAACATTCAATGGGTACTTAAAATATTTTATTTCAATAAGGACATCTTTGAAATAACATCTCTAAGACATCTGCGATTTGGTCATGGAACTACAGTAAAGAATTTAAAAAAATTTTAAGACTCTTGGACTATTATAAATACATTTTTCCATATTAAGTGAGCGCACTTTGTGCGTGGTTTGACTTCATTTCAAATGCTCACAGTAAGTTAATATCACAGTAAAAATTCAGAAACCATGTAATTACAAGATGTATATTTTCATAGATGAGAGATAAAGAGATAAATTCCCTGAGTAAGGGGAAAGGTTACATATGAAAGAAAATCGAACAAAAACAAAAGAAAGACTAACTTAAGGAATAGTGCTACACATTCTTGTGAAAAAAAATTGTGATAAACTGAACTGATACAAATTGTAATTTATGATAAAATAGAGAATACTTCCTTTTAATTGGGTATGGATGCTTTCCACAGAACCATTTCATCTCCCATGCACCTCCTTCAACTATGGAGTGTTTAACCCTTTCACTCCCAAGATCTAATTGGTAATTCTCCTTACTATCTGCCATACAATTCTGATGATGTTAGTTCAGAGAATTTGGCATTGGATCAACTAACAATCCCATAATTAATATTCTTCTCTATTCTCATCACCTGCCTGCTTGATATTGTATTGATATTGTAAGGAGAAATTCTGTCTTAGTCACTTGTGGGAGTGAAAGGGTTAACCATTTAACTCCCAGAAGTGATTAACATGTAACTTCTCCCCATAATATTGATACATCTTCCAGCAAAAAGGTAAAGAGAATACTAAGACTTATCAGGTAGACACCGTCATCTTGATCTAACACCAAATTCTCATAACTAATCTACTAATAAATGTGTAGCAACTAGAAGGGAGAATTAAGTATTAGATCCTGGGAGTTAAAGGGTTGAGGGAAACATTGTGTTCTTAACACTACACTAATTAACTTTCATCCTCTCAGAAGAAGATTATGATCTGCTATTATTAACAATAATCACATAATGCTGGTAAAAATATGTCTTGTGAATGGATAAAACTATATTGACCCAAACCAATGGTTTGCAAATTTGCTTATGACTATCATCATCTTTTCTTCACATTTTGCTATTTTTTTTTTCAAGGTCTAGTTCAAAACTCTAATTTCTTTGGAATTTCCCAAGTGAAACCTGGCTTAAAATGACCATAAACACTTGTTGCCTTGAAAATGGGTTTGCGCAGGTCTAGATCCCTAATGATTGCACCTGGCCTTAGATCAAAATTCTTTTGGATGATTCGCAAAAGCTCATCATCTGACATTTCACTACTTCCATAGCTAAAAACAGACACTGACAAAGGCTCTGGAATACCAATTGAGTAAGATACTTGTACTAATGCACGCTTACAAAGCTTTGCTGCAACCAATGACTTTGCAATCCACCTACAGGCATAACTTCCTGACCTGTCCACCTTTGTTGCATCTTTACCTGAAAATGCCCCACCCCCATGAGCTCCCCACCCCCCATAAGTGTCAACAATAATTTTGCGCCCTGTCAGGCCACCATCAGCCATTGGACCACCGAAGAGAAACTGCCCTGCAGGTAACAGATGATAGACTGTTTGCTCATCAAGGTATTTTTCTGGGATTACACTTTTGACAATTATCTCTTTCAAATAATGCCGGATTTCTTCTGCAGACATTCCATGTGCATGTTGACTTGAAATCAAAACAGTGTGCACTCTTTGAGGCATGCAAGCACCATCTTTCATACTGTATTCCACAGTAACCTGTGTCTTACCATCAGGTCTGAGCCAAGGCAAAGTTCCGTCTCTGCGACACTCTACTAGTCTTTGCACCAGTTTGTGTGATAGAACAGTTGTTAAAGGCATAAGTTCCTCGGTTTCATTCGTTGCATATCCGAACATCAAGCCCTGATCTCCAGCGCCTATGTCCAAATCCTTCTTATCCATGTGCACAACTCTTGCGATTTCCCCAACTTGCTCTTCGATGGAAAGCAAAACGCTGCATGTTTTGTAATCGAAGCCTTTAGAAGAGTCATCATATCCAATTTCCTTTATGGTATTTCGGATAACACTTTGATAGTCAACCTTCGCTCCAGATGTAATCTCGCCAAAAGCCATAATCATGCCAGTTTTTGAAGCAGTTTCGCAAGCGACTTTCGCCTTCGGATCTTGTTCCAAATGAGCATCTAAAATCGCATCAGAAATCTGATCACACATTTTATCTGCATGTCCCGGGCAAACTGACTCTGAAGTGAAGAGAAACTTGCTGCGATCGCTTGCACCAGTCAAGAAAGAGCGATTTAAACAAAATCTTGCAACTGAAGCAGACTTTGTTGGAATGATTCGAGCTAGCTTTGCTTTAGAACTCCACATTTTGAAAAGATGTTATCCTCTCGTGACTGAGTATTACGTAGAAATACACAAACTCGGAAGGAGAAAAGCTTAAAAAAAAAATTGCGTGAGTAAGCAAACTTGCGTGTGGTGCAACCCTGTCGTGTAAACCCAACGCAATCGCAATGCAACAACAGAAAATCAATACTTTGTCGCTGAAATTTGTTTCGTGTACGTTTCACTCTTAAAAACGATATTTTGGGTTAAAATAATGAGCTGATAATGAGAGATATTTAATCTGAAACGAAAGCATTGATTTCAAACCTGAAATCATGATAATATCCATCTCTGATCCAATCGGAGAACTCCGTAGTAATTCGGGATATTCCGTCTTGATGGTCGGAAATATTTGCCTTATAAACAAACTGTATCTCATTTCCGTTTCAAAATGGAAGCAAGAGGACAGTCTGTTGTAATCGAGTCCGATCAACATTCATCGTCGCAAACTTTATGGCCTCTTCGCCAAGCACTTTATGCAGAATCTGTAGGAACAGATGATGAAGAGAATGAGGACGAGCTATCTCGAACTTGGTGGGTGAAAACTCGCTGGTTTCAGCGTCTTGTTCAAGTGTGTGCCGTAGTCAGCCTGACTTCTACAGCAATGAATTCGCCGGAGACGTTTAAAGAATCCGGTTCACTTCAATACATCACTCTTGTATTGGATATTGTGGTTGCAGTTGTATTTATTACCGAGATGATCGCTCAGATAAACATGTGGGGTCTATGGAAAAAACAGAAGGCCTACTTCAAGAAACCGCAGTGCATATTTAACGCTAGTATGGTTTTCCTCATAATACTATCGATCTTGTTTCAAGTAATTGAAATTTCAGGCCATTCTCCCGATCCGGCAGATTACATTGCATTTTCTATTCCAAGAGCCCCAAGAGCTCTTATTATTGTTCGATTCTTCAATGTTCTCATCACAATAAGCCTGCCAAAGACAGTTGCTCGCCGATGCAAGCGACAGATCTGGGCTGTCACTTTATTTTTGTTATACTTCATGGCATTCGCTTCAATCATCGGCGTTCAATTATTTGGACGAAAGAATTATTATTGCGTGAAAAACGGTGCTGATTTGAATAATGTTACATACAATGATGTTTTACTCACAGACCATCGATGCAATAATGACACTGGTGAAAGAGGCTATTTTTGTCCTAGAAATTTCAGTTGTGTCTTTGTCGATTTTAATAAAAAGGACAAAGACTACTTCGGCGATTTTCTTCGCAGCATTTTAACCGTGTACGAAAGTTCCACTCAAGAAGGCTGGGTTCTTGTTATGTACAGAATGACGGACTTTCGATCTCGTCCATTAGTTTATGTTTATTTTGTGTTGCTTATTTTCTTCATTGCCTGGCTCGTGAAAAACGTCTTCATTGCTGTCGTCTCGGAAACCTTTGCCGATATTCGGAGCCTGTATATGTATAGTCGGAAATCTTCGAAGCGTACTTCGGCTCGACTAGCTTCTCAGGTCATCAAGGAGGGAGGAACTGGTTGGCATTTAGTATCGTTAGATCATGAAGCACATAAGGGACACGCACCACTGCCTGTTAGACAATTAGTTAACTCTATTTACTTCAAATACACAATGATCTTCTTTGTTGTGGTTGATGCTATCGTACAAGCAGCTTTGAAGTTTCCCTGGAGAAGATACCCACAGTTCGGGTTTACCATACTTTTCGACTTGGAAGTTCTTCTTAAGATCTCATGTATGGGTTTTCGGCCTTTCCTTCTTCGTAAAATGCAATTGACAGAGTTTATATTAGCTGTTGGTAGTACTGTTTTTGCTTTGCCACTTTTGATCTCCGAGAAAGCTGCTTTCTTAGCTTTCTTTAATGTTATGAGGATAATACGACTTGTTGGGGCAATACCGAGTTTGCAAGAGTTCTGTGAAAAAATCTTTGGTACGGGAAAAAAGCTCGGAGCGGCCATTGTATTTACGCTGTTTTTCGTCATGGTTTCCGCCGTGATCAGTATGCAGTTCTTTCTGACTTTGGATCCCAAGAAATTCGGGACCTTTATGCTGTCAGTCCAGTCCATGTTTCAGATTATTACTCAGGAAGGATGGGTCGAAGTTTTAGATGGACTTATAAATGCCACTACCAACACCTTTGCCAAGATTCTAGTTGCGATAATCATCTTGGCATGTCATCTTTTCTCGTCGCTTATCATTATGAGCGTATTTGTTGCAGTCATCCTGGACAACTTGGAACTTGACGAAGAGGTGAAGATCATGAAACAGAAGAAAATGGGCCAAGAGAGCCGAGAATCCACCGAGGAACTTCCACTGCGTCTTCGGGTCTTCGAGCGTTTCCGGGATGACCCGCGTCTTGTCAAAATGAGTAGGATTAAAATGTCCGCGGATTTTTCCACGCCTAAGATTCGTGACAGTTTCATGAAGAAGTTTATAGACAGCTCTAGCGTGGAAACAGCACTGGCTGTTGATCCACGAAAGCAGCTCGGGGAGACTTCGCAGCTAAGAAGGCGGCGGACTGCAATTCCTATAAAGCTTTTAAACTCGACGGTATCTGAGGTGGATAAGCTTTCGAAGTTTGTCCGCAAGCAGTCGAGTATTACTGCGTTGATCAACGATTCCAATCGCCGAAGAACGTATGCGCTACTTTCACCTACCGAAGTTTCCCCGAGGAGCGCTGCAATTCAAGGCAGCAACAACAACAAACAGCAGCCGACGTCAGTCTTCCGATCTGCGTCGAGGCGATTCCGGAGCCGCCCGCCTCCGTCTCCGAAACCAGCTCAAGGTAATCCTCAGGTCATGAGAATGGCCAGCCAAGCTACAGGTCTCCACGCCCAGTTGAATCAGGATGACACCAATATCGGGCGAGATTTCGACATCCAGTGGGTTCGGGTCAGACGTGAAGAGGTTCAGCGGAAAAAGAAAGCTCAAATTGACAAGCTTCGCGAGAATCATCCCTACTTTGACCAGCCTCTCTTCTCACTGCAGCGTGACTCATGGTTTCGGATATTTCTTCAGAGCTTAGTGAACGCGCGTTACTCAATTCCTCCTGGTTATACGGAGCGGGCGTCACGCAATAACATTGTCACGATGGCACGGCTTCAAAAGTGTCTCGCGTCACAGACGTACCTGGAGTGGATAATGATCATTGTTACGCTTATCTCTTGCATCGCTATGATGCTCGAGACTCCAACCCAGCGAACCTTTATGAATTCTTCAACAGAAGTCGTCGAATACATTTTCGTGGTTGCCATGAGTTTGGAACTGGGTGTTCGAATCCTTGCGAACGGTTTGATCTTCACGCCTAATGCCGTTATTCAGAACTTTGGGGGTGTCCTTGACGTCACTACGTACCTCGTGGCACTTGCCTATGTTTCCTGGCAACCACATCCGATACCTGCCCGCTCAGGGGCTCAAGTGTTGATGGTGTTAAGGTGCCTTCGTCCACTGCGCATTGTCACATTGGTGCCTAAGATGCAAAAGGTGATTCTCGAGCTGGTGGGTGGCTATAAAGAAGTACTTAAAGTCAGCGCACTACAGTTGCTGCTCATGTTCATCTTTGCCAGCTATGGTGTTCAAGTATTCGCTTTCAGATTTGGAAGCTGCAACGATCGCACGAAAAATACCCGAGAGGAGTGCATTGGAACCTTCGAAATAGAGATCGCCCCACCTCGCGAACTACGCGACCTTTCAGGGACGTCTACAATCCTTGTTCCTCGTGTATGGAAAAAACCCAGAAATTTTGACTTTGATAACGTCATCCACGCATTTCTGGCTTTGTTTGAAGTTCTTTCCTTAGAAGGTTGGCTGGAAGTGCGAGATGTGATCCAAGCAGTGGTGTCTCCTGAGTATAGTCTGTATGTCCACATTTACGTACTCATTGGAAGTATGATCGGACTAACTTTGTTTGTTGGAGTAATTGTTATGAATTTTAACGAGAACAAAGGCATCGCGCTTCTCACTGTTGATCAACGTCGCTGGCAAGACTTGAAGAAGCGCTTGCGACTCGCACAACCTCTTCATATTGCGCCACGACCGAGAAAAGAGGGGATTCGTGCCGTATTATTCGACGCCACACAGTCAAAAATATACAAAGGTATCGAAGTCATTTTGGTGGTTGTTATCTGCTTGACTGTTACGATTGCTCAGTGGACCACTGAAGACAACCTGCGCCTGCGAGACGGCTTGACCAGCACTGCAGCGGCGTGTTCGATATTCTTCGTTGTAGACATGGTTCTCAAGATTATCGCCTTCACATTTCAAGGATACTGGCAAAGCCGGAGAAACCGGTTTGACCTGTTTTTGACGAGCCTTGGAGTGTTGTGGGTAACTCTGAATTTTTCTCTTAAAGGGAGTGGTATACCGTACACAGTCACCACCGTGTTTGGAATGGTGATAATCCTGTTCCGTTTCTTGACGCTTGCTGGTAAACACGACACGCTCAAGATGTTAATGTTGACCGTTGTCATGTCGCTAGTAAAGAGTTTCTTCATCATCTCTGTTCTTATCATCATTATGGTATGCTACTCGCTCGCTGGTGTGATCTTATTCGGCACAGTCAAATACGGAGAGGCGTTAAATCGCCATGCCAACTTCAAGACAAGTTTCTATGCTATGATACTGTTGTTTCGAATCACCACCGGAGAGGACTGGAATAAGATCATGCATGACTGTATGATATCGAAACCGTACTGCACAGAAACGCCTGATACGCCGAATTTCTGGCAAACCGACTGCGGCAACAGTGCAGCAGCGCATATTTACTTCATTTCGTTCTACATTTTCGTAACATTTGTCTTCCTGAACCTTTTCATCGCTGTTATCATTGAGAATTTTTCGCTTTTCTACTCCAGCGATGAAGATTCTCTTATAAGCAACACAGATCTGAAGGACTTCCAGTTGACTTGGAACTTGGTGGATAAGAGTCGTAAAGGCGTTTTATCGGTCCGACAAGCTAAGCTTGTTCTTCGCTTACTCAAAGGCCGTTTAGAGGTGGACACAGGGTCGCTCTTGTTCAAGCACATGTGCTGTGAGATTGAAAAGCTTCGCAATGGCTGTGATGTTTCATTCCATGATGTCTTAGGAGTGCTAGCCTATCGATCTGTTGACATCAGCCGCAGCTTGCAACTCGAGGAGCTGCTCGAGCGAGAAGAATTAGAATACCAAATCGAGGAAGAAGTTGCCATACAAACAATTCGTGACTGGTTCGTCAACCTTCGTAAGAAGCGCGTCGAGCGGGAATGGATTCGACATTTGGAGCAAGGAGGAATCCCATTGGCTGGCGGTTTCCAGTTTGATAAAAGCCCTGGAGCTTCAAGCGTAGAGAGCTTGGAACACTCAGCAAATGAAGACCAAGATCGAGAAGACCGTGACACAGAACGCGAGATTCGTGATCACGAAAGCAGTGAAGATGACGATATTTCACTGTCATCCCCTTCAAAAGGACCGGCGATTCTCCTTTCGGCCCCACCTCCGGTTATGAAAACAGAGCGCAGCATTTCTACACCTCGTAAGAATTCTGTTACGTTTCCAGAAGAAGTCTCGATGTCACCAAAACGAAGAAAGAGTTTACCCGAATCTCTAGCTAATTCTAAGTCGCGAAGGAAAAGTTTGACTGAGGTGAAGGAGTTCGCGGGAGAAGTTCGTGATTGGTGGAATACACAGGAAAATAATCCGTAGGGCATCTGAACGTCCAAGCCGACGAAACTGACACATGTTAAGGATGGAAAGACCTGA